GTTGCAGCCGTCATTGTTGTTTGGCGGGTCCGGGCTGGGGATTCGAACCCGCCACCTTAGGTGTACGTGGCTGGCGCCTTAGCCGGGTGAGCTATAGGCGCCTAGCCAATATGCTTTTTCAAGGTGTGGGCAACTTCAAAAAAGCAGATCAAGCTTAATCCCTTAGGTCTTTTTTTGGGGGGGGGGGGCTGTGGCCAGGTTTGAACCAGCCACCCCCAGCATATGGGGCTGGCACCCTACTTACTCCTTGAGCCACAGGCGCAGCCCCATTAATCCCTTAGGTCTTAGCACCAATTCTCTCTGCTTCACACCTGCCCACTGCTTATCTGTAGATAATTTCAGAACTTTGTCCTTCTTCAAAGTTTTCTAGATCTAACTTAAATCATTTAAGGTTTTTTTTTTTTAACCCTTTGTGGTTGCTGGTAGAATCAAGAGAACTAATCAAATGAGCTGAACAATCCCCAAGCTAGATCACTAGATTACCGGTGTCACAGCAATACCGGGCACTGTTCTAGATACCTTACAGAAATGAACTTATTTAGTGCCCAAAGACATGATGTACTGTTTTGCTCCTGGAAAGTCTATGAAGATTCAATGGCTTTCAAAATTCTTTTTTTTTAAGACAGAGCCTCAAGCTGTCCCCCTGGGTAGAGTGCCATGGCATCACAGCTCATAGCAACCTCCAAGTCCTGGGCTCAAGCGAGTCTCCTGCCTCTGCTTCCCAAGTAGCTGGGACCACAGGCGCCCGCCACACCGCCCAGCTATTTTTTGGTTGTAGCCGTCATTGTTGTTTGGCAGGCCAGGCTGTATTCGAACCTGCTACCTTAGGTGTATGTGGCTGGCACCTTAGCCACATGAGCCACAGGCTCTGAGCCAGCTTTCAAAATTCATATAAAACATGCAAATTATACCCCTATTATAAGACCTAACATAGATCAGACATAAGTAAAATTAAATACACACCCTAGAACTGGCTGCCAGAAAGGAAACAGTGCCTGCTGAGCTACAGAAAACACAAGAGACTTCTCACTCCTCTCCTTCCAAAAGCAAACGCAATTGGATTCTTCAGAGCTTCCTCTCTTGACCCTAAAATATAAAAACCAATGGGAGAGCTTTTCTAGTGGGAATCTCTGAAAATAAAACTGAAACTGAAAACTATGACCCAAAAGGCAATGTAAAAGGTTTATGTTTCTAGGAGAATGTCAGAAGGATATGTTTGTAAAAGGGGAAGAAAGGGCCACAGGTGTGAGGCAACTGATACAATCAGCCACCTCAGACATTCTCAAAGGAGGAAAGCGGTTCTGGCCTTTAAGCTCAAGCCCACCTTCTGAATAATGAGCAATACCAGCTCTGGTCCGTGGTACGGACAGAGTGAGAGCCAGCAGGCACTGCTCTTTGTACCAGGGGATGGGATGTTCACTGGAATACACGAAGCCTGAGAGGAAGAACTGTGTGAGCACCGTGAGGGCAGGAGGCTCCTCCCCCTCTATCGCAGCTGTGGCTTTCAGACCGTGCCCCAGCAGCCACAGGGCTCCAAAGCAGTCCAAAGGGTAGGTGGGGAAGACGCTAAGCAACCTCAGTCCTATGCCTGCTAGGTAGATAGTTAGGAATCTGGCTCTGCTAGGGAAAAAGGACAAGGGTGGGGCCCCAAGGCCCCCATCTCAGTGCCACTCTCCTTAATCCAGTCCTGAGTGATTGCTTACACCTGGAGAGGAGGGCACCCCCTAGCAATCTACCCATGGAACCTCACATAACAACTGCAAAGGGATGCAGAGGACTCTCTAACCACCGCCCCCCCCAACAAACCCCCCAAGCAGCATAGGTACCAAAGAGTCTGAAAGGTGACAGACTAGTACAGAGTCTAGAACAGCCTTAAGGCTAATTATCATGTCATTTGCTTTAACTTACACTGCGGTCCACACACACACACACACACACACACACACACACCCATGGGCTTTCACAGAGGTTCATGGGAGGCCTGCGTGTGCAGTAAGACTCTGGTTCC